CTGCACCACATGAGACAACATTCAGATGGAGTAAGAACAAAGTTTAGCATGGATTTTTTCTCAAAATTACATTCAAGAAAATTAAATTATGTGTAAAGCATATGTTATGATCCTGCAGGCCTTAAGAAAACAAATTCATGGATATTACTGAATTAATAAAGTCAGTGCAATAACTTTAGGATCTGATGCAAATTAACAGTCCACAAAACAACCAGTAAAAATGATAACTACACAATAGTGTGTGTGTGGAGGGGGGAAGGTCATTGCCAACAGGTGAAGTATTAAGCCCTTCAGCAATCCAGTATACCAGACAATAAGTATTACACGGTTTACACAGAACACAAAATTATTAAGTGTTTTGCAAAAGAAGATTAATTCAATTTTTAATAATACATTCATACTGCAAGAAGCAAGAACTATTTAACCTGTTTGTTAATTCTTGTTATTAATACAGTTTTAAACAGAAAACAAATGTGATCTAGGAAACTACCTTTTAAAAATTAAGAGGATCACAAATTAATTACTGAGGAACTACAACTGGCAACTCCAGTGACTAGCTCAGACCAGATCAACATGACAGAGGCAGATGGAACTTCAAGATTTGGTCCAATGAATTGGCTAATGAATTTTGTATGAGCAGACCTAGCAAGCAGTGAAAGTAAAAGAATATGGTGGGAAAGAAGGCCATTTACTTTTAACATCTCTTTGCCAAGCAACACTAGATAGAAGTGTTTAACAGAGGGTAACCTTTCTGAAATATTTAGAACCTTTTAAATAAACAATGTGGCTTCCTTGCTGATGGAATCACAGATGAACACTTCTGTCCCGACTCCATCAGTAAGCTGATGCTCCTGGCCAGCATACAGATAGCTGTTTACTATTGTTACTCATCAAAAGATGAAACAGCAAGACACATGTAAAGAAAATTATTTGTAAAACAAATAATTTTTATTCTTTAGCTGTTTAGTAAGTTAAAGGAAAGTTTCATTTATAATTGCATTTTATTTTTGTGTATTTCTGATTTTCATCTTCTCACCAACCAAAATCTAAGTTTCATTTACAAAGTTCTCTTCACCCCAGTTTCAGGTTACCCCACTTGGAAAAAAAAAAAAAAAAAGGCAAAAAAACATACCACAACCTGACTTGTCAAAAAAAATTAAATTCCTTTTTAAAAATGAAGAAAAACACCCCAAAGCCAGAGTTTTTAAAGTATTACAGATTTCACAGAATAAATACTGATTTTTGTCTTTAAAAACCAAAATGCTAATGGGAATAAGGGTCTCTTGCTTTTCTGTCAGATAAGAAATGGATGTTTGGTAGTATCCTATACTGCCATAATTGAAAATACAGCTCTGCAGATATTTTGAAACTATCAAGCTAAAGAGTAACAATATTATATTCCTACCCTTTGACTAGGAACAGCTATTCAAAGAAACATATTAGTTAAAAATAAGACCTACTCAAATATATCATGAAAAATATGCTTAATCAATGTAATTGAGGTTTTCTGGTTTTACTTTTTAACTGAAGCACTTTAAATGACTAGCTTTTTGTCTTAACTTGATGCAACCTCCAGCAGATATTTAGGCGTTTGTTGGACAGCCATCTCACTCACTTATACCATTCACATTGCTAAAGGTCACTTCCTCAAGCTTATTAGTTATGTATATAATGGCTTTAAAGTTTTGTTCTCTGGCTCCTTCTCAAATGTTTCTTTCCATACTTAAATGCTACCTAAAAACAAGTGTTTAAGTGTAATACAAATAGGGAATAAAAATTAATAAAAGCCCAACAGCACATGCAGGTACAGTAAATTTGTATTAAACTTAAAAGTAATGCACACATAAAACTTTGTCCTAGAACACATCTGACTTTACCATAACATACTGCATTTGCATATGAACATGCATGCCAGCTGGCCAAACCAGCAGCATATGAGGGTAGTCAAAGAAGAGATTATAAAGGAAACCATGCAGTTATGTCGGTACTTTTATGCAAGAACTTAATTTCAGTGATCGCACTGCCATTACTTCACTTCCCTGTTTCAAGGCCACTATGAGAACCACCTTCCTCCATCTTCATTATACTAAAAAGCACTCTTCCTCAAGGGGATAAAGAAAAAAAAAAAAAAAAAAGCAAGCATACCACGTAAAATAGAATATGGTTCAAAATACACCAAAAGCAACAGATTGGTGGGAGGAGAAACTTTCAGTAAGGTAGATGACTGCGAAAAAGTAGGAAGGAGAAACAGTGCTGCACGCTGTCCTGGGTTTAAGTGAGTGGTGGAGTTTTTTGGTAGCAGGGGAGGGGGCTACAGCGGTGGCCCCCTGTGAGAAGCTTCTCGAAGCTCCCCCAGCTCCAAGTCAGACCCATCTCTGCCCCAAAACTGAGCCAATCAGCTGCGCCTCTGCGATAACGTATTTAAGAAGGGATGTGGTGACGGGCAGTGGGACTTGTGAGGAGGAGTTGCTGCCGCTGCCTGAACACCAAGGTCAGTGGAGGAACGGAAGAAGAAAGGAGGGGGGAGGTGTGCTGGAGCAGAGACCCCCCTGTATCCTGTGGTGAGACGGCAGGGCGGCCCCCCCTGCCACCCATGAAGATCTATGGTGGAGCAGACATTGATTTGTGGCCTGTGCGGGGCTTCATGCATCCAATTAAGGTGGCTGAACCCAAAGCCAGGTGGGATCCTGTGGGAAGAAGCAGCCCCTACTGCTGTAGTTCAGTGCTGGGAAGACTGCGGCATGCGGGGGTGTCCCACACCTGAGCAGCTCAGGAAGGGCTGCAGCCCGTGGGAAGGACTCCTGTTGGAGAAAATTGGTGTCCCACTCTGGAGCAGCAAGGGAAACGCTGCAGCCCATGGGAGGGACTTTCATCGGAGAAAGTTTGTGGAGGACTGTCTCCTGTGAGAGGGCAACCACACTGGAGCAGGGGGAAAAAGTTCCAGAAGTTTCCTCCTCCAAAGATGGAAGAGCGGCACCACTAACTGCACCCCCCATTCCCTGCCCCTGCACCACTGGGGGGAGGAAGCAGAGATATCAGGAGCAGAGCTGAGCCCAGGAAGAAGGGAGGGGTGGGAGGAGGGTGTTCTCAAGATGTGGTAATGCTTCTCACTCTCCTACTCTGTAAAGTGTTGTTGTTAGTGTCTGTAATAAATGTATGTTCTTTTTTTTCTTCCCTTAATGAGTCTGCCTTTCGCTGGTGACCATAATGGGTGATTTGCCCCTCCCTGTCCTGTCTTGAATCCCAATTCTGGCTTATTTTCTCCTTCTCACCATTGGGGGTGAAGGGGGAAGTGAGCAGCTGTGTGGTGCTCAGTTGCCTTCTGAGCTCAAACCATGACACACACTTCTACTCCTTGTGGCAAAACAAAGCATTGGTTCTGCAGTCCTCACTACGCTCCTGGAAATACTCTGAGGAATCTTGCTGAATTCAGGATGAGTCATGTCAGAAGTCAGTCAACTACTGGTACAAGTAGCAAGTCTTTCTCCACATCACAGATCCTTTCCATCACTCCCACTAAGATCTGTGGAACTGCAGGCGTTTCCACATGCAGCTATGCAAGTATGTTTGTATATACAGTGACATACTGCCCCACTCTAGAAAGCACACTAACGAGCAAATACATGCTTAAAGAAAAAATCTACTAATGCATGTAATTTGTTATTTTCTTTATAATAGGTACGTATACACTCACACTTAAGCCAGTAAAAAACCCTATGCAAAATAGCATATAAATAACTTTTGTATAAATAAGGACCCAAGACTATTTTCCTACATGTCTGTAGATCACTCAAAACAGCGTATCAACTGTTCAGCAGTTCCCCAATGCAGAGACAGAATTGGCAAAACATGGTGCCAATAAACTAAAGCACCTTAGCAAGCTTCATTCTCTGTAAAGTAACACTTTAATGCACATTAGAGTGCCCAAATGCTGTCAGTGAGTATCATGGATGGTATAATCAAAATTTAAACGGAGCCTTGAGCTTCCGTTTACCCTTCACTAAGTGAGATTTATTACAGGGAAACAAAATTACCCATAGAAAGCTGGGTACTAGTACACTTTGCTACTATCAGACTGAATAGCAAGGTCATATTCAGATTTAGCACTTGCCAAATAGTATTAAGAACACCATATCGACTGCTTGTGGTTGTAAGTTGCAACTGGAGAGGGCTATAAATGGTTATGAACAGACAAAGGTGTTAACAGGTGACCTCTTGGCTCTTCTACCGTTTACACTGTTACTAGCGGCGGGCACAGAAAGCGCACTTGAGCAACCTCGCTGCAGGCTTCAGGCCCTACATGACAAATCTGCCCGCGGATACCAGGACCAACATCCTGGTTTCCTCCCAGATCTGCCCGGACAGCTCCACGAACGCTATGGGATACCGCCTGCTTACTTCCACCGCATTCATCCGTGGGGCTGTGAGCGGCGGGTGCATGGGCCTGGGGGGGAGCGCAGGGCCCGCCGCTCACCTCACGGAAAAGGCGGGAGGGTGATACGCGCCAGGACCTCCGCGCTATGTTGGGAAAGCCCGTTTTACGCGCCCGCGGCCCCGGCTCCAAGCCGCCACACAGCTCTCAAAACGCGAGCGGCCCCGCCGCGGCGCCCAGCCCTGGCTGGGAGGGGGCAGAGGCGCCGCCGCTGCCGCCTGCGGGAGGGCCGTGTCGTGCCCCTCACCCCGCCGAGCGGCTCCCCGTGACTCCCGCCCCGGGCCACGGCATCACTGCGGCTCCCCGGCGGGCCCTGCCGCGGCCCCCGCCCGCCTCACCCCCAACAATGCCTGCCGCCCCACGCCGCCCCTCGGCCCCACCGCACGGCACCGCTCCCGCCAGGGCGTCAGGGCCGGCCCCACTCCGCCGGCCCTACGGCCCCTCCCGGGGCACACATGTCGACCCCGTTCTGGTACCCGCTCCGCGAGGCGCGGGCAGGCCCCGAAGCCGCGGAGGCCGAGGCGCCGCCCCGACGGCTGCGCGGAGCGGCGCCATCCCCGCCTCTTACCTGCAGACCGGGGCGAGGGGGCCCGGCGCAGAAGGAGCAGCGACGCACCGAGCGCGGCGCTCCCCGCTTCGCTCGGCCTGCGCCGGCCCACCCTGCGCGCCGGGGCTGAGGGCGGGGCGCGGAGGCGGCGGGCGGGCCGCTGAGCTAGTGGCGGCGGTGGGAGGTGTTGTGCGCTCCGGCTTGGGCCAGCCGCGAGGTGGCGGGTCCCAAGGGCCGCCGGCGACTCCCCGCACCCCGTGGCTGGGCGGGCCCTACCGTGGCCCTCTCCTGCCAAGTCCCCATCTCTCCCGTGCTCCCTTCTCTCTGTAAAACCGCCCCTCGCGCGCTGGTGGCTGTGAGGGGGCCGGGGCCACGGGAGCAGCAGCAGCGGGATGGGGCGCGCTGGGCCCCGGGTTGAGCAGCGGTGAGCAACACCCTGGAGGGCAGCCCTGGGCTGTCCCGCGGCACCCCAGAGCGGGGCAGGGGCCTGCTGGCTCACGTAGCTCTGCGGCTTCCTGTGGTGGAGGCCAGGGCCTCGCAGGAGGAGGCAGGAGACGTCAAGTCATCAAGTCATGAGTTGAAATGTCAGTGTTAGCGGTCGCAGTCGCGAATAGAACCTACACACAGCAGATAAGCAGGCACTTCTTTATTCCAGCGCTGGGGAACACGGGGGATACCTCCACCAAATACGTGTTCACCAACAGGTACAAAACACAGAAACAAATTACAGAATCCAAAAAATACAATTTCCCGTATCAGAACCAGAGAGTACTTGAATGAACACCAAAGTGTTCCCAACCAGAGGTATACCAGCGAGGTGCTATCAACCCCAGTATATGATGTTCCACGTAAGATCCCACATCTCACGATTTATGAACAGCCTGAACCTTCTTCAAATAATCCTTGCCTTATTCCTTGCAGTGGCTCAATTGAGACAAGGAGTCCCTCTGGGGAAAATTCCCAGGAGCGCTAAGAGAGTCATATTCTCAAGGAGTCCTGTGGGCCCTCTCCTTTAATTCCCTTTCACCACTTACACTGATGCCAACCCTGCAACACTTTCATATTCGCCTTACAGGTGGCGCCCAAGCTTCTGCTGCTCAGGAATTCCCTAGTTCCAACCACGTGGAACTTTCACTCTGTCTGACAGGCAGGCTTTCCACTGATCCTGAAGAAGTGCCTTACCTTTCCAGGGAATGTTGTGAGGAGCTTTATGGGTCGAGAGCGATAGTACTCCCCAAGAATTCCTTGGTGCCAGCCGGAGTTTGATCAGCACCCGATCCCATCCAGTCTCACTTGCAAGGTCCCATCTGGGTCGCCAAAACTGTCAGTGGTCACAACCACAAATAGAACTTGCCTACACACAGCAGATAAACAGGCACTTCTTTATTCCAGCACTGGGGAACACGGGGGATAGCTCCACCAAAGACGTGTTCACCGACAGGTACAAAGCACCACATATTTATACACTTTGTCAGCAGAGTCATGGTTACAGAGTCATGGTTACAGAAGATCAACAAAATTCGTAAAGTTTAGTTTGATAATGATTGTCTTTCAATTACCTCACCTTACCTATTCTACAGAAACCATTGGTCATCTTTACTGATTGATATAATTAGAATGGGGGGAAGATAATGATTAGCATATTCATGTTACTTCCTGGAAATCATTATCATATGCAAATGTATCTAATGCATACGTGGTTATGTTGGACAGGGGTCCTCTGGTGGTCATCGATAGTCTTCCTCACTGTGTCTGCTGACTGAACTCCATCCTTGCACATGCTCATTTCTTCTTTGGCTGATCTTCCAAACCAAACCCAGTCTCTTCTGGTACCTATTGTTTCAACTCAAGATCCATAACCAGTACCCATTGTTTTAATTCAGAGTCCATAACGATTCGTACAGTGTTCAAGACACACAGCATCCTAGCTACCTATTCCTAAGGGCCTTAGCGTGCTTTATATTCTCATAGCTGCTATAACTCCATTTTAAAATCAAAATCATATTCTAAACTAAAATCAAAATAATATTCTAGGATTCAAGCTATTTTATTAAGGTAACTGCGACATCAGGATCCCGCTTCAGAGGCTACTAGAGTGCTGGGCGATAAGCCTTTTTGGCACAAGCCTTGTCTTCCACCTCTTCTGATACTCTCTGGCTTTATTGAGCTTTAGTCTCATGTATCTTTTCACTTTCTACACAACTATAAGAAAGGATCAGGTAATCATCTCTTGGTGACTTTCTCTTCACAGAAATACTGCCTATCTCCATCTATAACCTCTGTGGTATTTCCACCTCTACAAATATTGGACACTGACTAGATACAAACCTTTAGTAATGGTTTTGCCAACAACCAGTTCGATCATTTTCTTATTTTATTTTTGATACTTAAAGACTGAGCAAAGACACTATTACTGCACCATACCTTGCAAACAATTGCCTAACTTCCCTCCTCTAAGTAAAATTAAAAGGGAAGTGTTACCAGAAAGTGGTAATTAATTCACTTTCTAAGACTCAATTTTGGAGTTTCAGAAAGCAGGCATTTTTTATTACAGCACCGGACCCGAAGGGGAGAGCTCCTCCTAATGTGTGTGTCTGTGAAAACGAAATCAACAAGCAATTATACTACCTTAATCATACATACTCATTGCATTTTTATCATATTTTTATCATATTCATAACTTTTCCAGGAACTCATTAGCATATGTTAATGTCTCTTGCGCATGTCTGTTGGAGTCTTCAGGTGGTCGTCAGGGGTCTTTAGATGAAGGCTTGTAGTCTTCTTCACTGTGTCCACCAGTTGACCCTTACATCTGCACAAACTCAGTCCTGTGGTCATGTATATCTTGTCCTCCAAGGCTGGCCTGGTCTGGTTTTGTTGCTAATTTGCAGCTTCCGTAACTTTATGTTTCTTTGCACCTGCTACTACAAGGCTGAACCATCTCAAGTAAGATTATTTATGAGTTCCTCATCCTACAGTTATTCTAACTATTCCTCAAAATATCAGTATTTGTTCTACAGCACAATGGTTAAATGGTTAAAACAGCTTAAATTGATCTTAACAATTCTATTCCACAAATATCTATTTTATAATAATCTTAGTTCACAGGTAACAGAAGGGAAAGAGAAAGTGCAACATCATAGTCCCTTTTTCTTTTCCCCTCTCGATAATAGTTTGTTGGGAGCTGAACCACACAGCTGGTAATTCTAATTCCCCTGGGATGGAGTTGAGCCACCTTCAAAACCTCAGGGATCAAGATAAAGACAGGGAGGGATGACTCGCTAATCATGGTCATAGGCAAAAGACAGACTCCATTGGGGAAAAAAAGAAAAGAACATCAGTCTTATTTGAACACCACCCCAGCAACACTGATTTCACGATCAAACAGAGTAGGACAGTGAGAAATACAGTCACATCTTAAAGACACCTACCCCACACCCCTCCCTTCTGGGACTCAAGCTTTGCCACTGATTTCTCTACCCCTTCCCCCTTCCAGCGGCGCAGGGGATGGGGATTGAGGTCAGTTCAGGACCCTTTGTTTTTGCCACTCCTTCTTCCCTTGGGGGAAGATTTTCTTACACTCTTCCCCTGATGCAGCATGGGGTTCCTCTCATGAGAGACAGTCCTCCACAAACTCCTCCAATGTGAGTCCTTCCCACAGGGCTGCAGCTCTTCAGAAACTGCTCCAGTGTGGGTCCCTCCCATGGGCTGCAGTCCTCCTGGCAACAGACTGCTCCAGTGCAGGTTTCCCTCACAGTCATGGCCTTCTTCAGGCTCAGGCCCCTGCTTCGCCATGGGATCCTTCACAGGCTACAGATGGTCATCTTCTCCACCACGGACCTTCATGGGCTGCAAAGGGGTGGCCCCTGCCCTCTCACCACAGGCTGCAGGGGAGTCTGCTCTGGTGTACCTCCTCCCCACCCAACCCTTTCTTCAATTGACCTTGGTGTTTGCATATATATTTCCCTCACAACCCATCCTCCTCTCAGGTTCCCCTTCTTAAATATGCTATCACAGAGGCACAGCCACCATCACTAATTGGCTCGGCCTTGGCCAGAGATGGGTCCAACTTGGAGCTGGGGGAGCTTTCGAGAAACTTGTCCCAGGAGTCACCTTTGTAGTCTCCTTGCCTGCTACCAAATCCCTGCCACACACAAACAAAAAACACATAGCTAAAGTTTATTACCCTCTTCGGAAATGCATACAAAGGCCATGGTCTGGCCTCCCTCAGGCTCCCAATGGTCGAGAAAGCTGCAGGTCATCTGGTCTCGAATTGCAGCAAAGGGTGTCATATATAAGGTATGCACCCGGACTAGCCAGACTAGCCACTCATTGTGCACACAGATGCACCTGGAATTTGCATTTCTTGCAAATCCTCAGCTAGAGCAAACAACAGAAAAACAAAGAACAAGGGTTTTATAAGGAGATTTAACTACAGTCTCTTTTAGCTCTGCAAAAGAGTCACTGGTTTTGCAAGTTCACAACGATGTTCTAAGAACTAAATTAGTAGATATAGTACAGAACATGGAGAATACATCTGGTCAAGCAGCAGTGTAAGAAGAGGAATCTGGAGTGTAATTCAGAGTCATTATGATGCTCTATGTTGCTTACAGTACATAGACCCCTTCAGTTCATGTTGACATCTGCAATACTAGTTTTATCCAGAGTCAGAAATCTCATATTCCTATGTTGTCTTGCAGTATAAATGAGGCTATAAAATCATGTGAGTTAGTATACCACAACTTTTCCCCAGAAAACTTCCCTCCCTTGCTATCAACTGAGTTGTCAATCAGTCTCTGAGATGGACTTCCAAGGTTGATGGCAGGGGCAGGGGAAGGGAGAAGGGAAGGGCAACAGGCAGCAGTGGTGAATGACTTCAGGACATACCATGCTGGGGGGTGATCCTAGTGTGTTCTAGCTAAGTAACTAATTAAAATAAAACATGCTTTACAGATTGGCATTTTTTCCCCACACAGGTATTTTTTGTCAGGTATTTTAGCATTTAATGAACTGCAATGTGTAGTAACATTTGTCACACTGACAAAATTAATGTGGCGCAAAATTGTCTTTTAAATTTCTAGGTACCAAAAGAAAGGCAGATCCTGAAAACTTCTCCCAAAGACAGTATCTGAACTCAACACCAA